TCCTGCACTTCGAGCCGGAGCCCCGGTAACCCGTTAGGTTCTCCGCGACTCCGAAGGTTTAAGCTAGGCTAGGGGTTTATATTCATTAGCAGCATTGCGCGACATACGATGCGGCATACGATGTTATCAAGAACGTTGAAAAGAGGCGGACATAATGTCACTTACAAATGATGGAAGTACCAAAATGTTAGTGGTTTACTTATGTGTGCGTGTATAATGGGTTACCACGTTACCATGGTAGAATGTCCTTCGTGTCAATGTGTTTATGATCGGCGTGTAACTATAGTAACCAGGTGCCACAGTCGTTGTTTCAAGAGATTACGTCCGCCTTTTTTCCTTCACTGTTATAATAAACTTGATAAATTTTAATATCCTTGACTGTTATAATAAACATAATATTATAATTAATTTAATAGTCTCACAAAATAAACCACAAAAAGAACATTGAAATCAATTTAATTTATTTTAATATCACATATCGATCCAAATTAGGTAACGCACTATTATCTTACTAATACTAAGTGTTTTATCATTTATTTATTGCAACTATCAACAATAAATTACTTTCATACATGTAATGCTACAAGTTTGGTAAGTTAGAAATGTCAGTTTGAGATTATTTAGAGGACAGTAGCTAGTCGTAAATGTCAGCTACGATCGAAATCTGGAGCATACAGCCTCACTGACTAATATGACAAGGACACTCTCTATAGAACAAATTATGAACTTAATAAATGGGAGCTGAAGTGAAGAAATCTTTATGATATTGTATCTGGAAAACATCTATTCGTCCAAAAAGGATTGCATTACTTCTGGAGCGCGTTCCTAAGTAAATTTTTATTAAACTTGTGGGAGTAGCTCAACCGGAGTGATACCACGGCCTTACAGAAAACCGACGTGATACAGCGCTTCCGTTGCGTTATGTGAGTGAGGTTACCGGGGGCCCATTTAAACCCCCTCTCTCCGAATTCTCCAACAATCCTCAAATTTCTAACCCTGAAAAGGCCGGCAACGCTTTTATACCGCCACTGGTGTTTCGGGAGAATTGGCGGCGCCAATTGTTTATCATCAGATGATTCGTCTGCTAATTTGCCGGCTTATCCCGTAAAAAATAGAATATAAACGATGATACAAGAAAAAAAAAACAATAGAATTCATTCCTTTGTTTTGTAAAAAGAATGCATTATAAGAAAGACAATATTTGTTGTGATAGCCTCAGAACACAGCTACACAGTCATCGCGCGATCACAGTTCGTTTTATCTTGAATGATATCGACGTAAATACCCAAATACAGTCCTAGAAATATACTTAATAAAATGTCAGTTTTAAATACTTTTACACTGTGCTACATGACATTTTTCTTAACAAGCCAGTGCTATTTTGCAACGGCTGTACCTTTATCTACAAGAACTGAAACCAGTGAAGCTAAGACAAGGGTATGTTTGTCAAATACTTTAGTAGTGTAACCTAGATTTTTTCTTTTTTATAAGTCGGTAAACGAGCAGCCGTATCACCTGATGGCAAGCAATCGGCGTCGCCCATAGACACCTGGAACACCAGAGGTGCTGCAAGTGCGTTACCGGCCTTTTGGAATTAAGAATTTGAGGACTGTTGGGGATTCAACGATTGGGGAAGGGGGGGAGGGGTTAATTCCGCCTCCGGTGACCTCACTTATTTGACGAATCACAACGCAAGCGTTGTTTCACGTCGGTTTTCTGTAAGGCCGTAGTATCACTCCGGTCGAGCCTTCTCATACATGCTGAAGCATGGCTCAGCCACACTTACTTTGAAGTTTGCGTTGGTGAAAGTCGTATGGTTGATTACCCTAGTAGTCATAAATCAAGATAATTTGTAGTAGTATTTTGAAATACAAAAAATTAGAAAGGATTATAAATAATATTTCTTTTCAGGGCTCCAGTTTTTACCACAACGTAATGACCGCATTGTTGCAAAATGCCAACGAAAAATCTTATAATAATACAGTTAAAAGTCGATATAAAAGAGGTGATAACTTTGATTTTTGGTAATAATTAAGGAGTTTTTTTTAAGGGGAGAAAATCATCGAATGTCTTCTCTCGCCCGGGTGAGGCAAGAGGGAGTGTCAGACTCTTACTGTCTAAAACCACCCCGTTACTACTCCTTTTTTTTTTGAGGGGCGAAAATCATCCAATCACTTCTCCCGCCCGGGTGAGGCGGGAGGGAGTGTCAGACTCTTATTGACTAAAAACCACCCCGTTCCTACTCCTGCACTTCGAGCCGGAGCCCCGGCAACCCGTTAAGTCTTCCGCGACTCCGTATCGGCATCAGCCCTATTAGGCCCCATCTGTGGTGGTCTGACGGCTCCATGAGGCGCGCGCGGAACGCGACGCGCCGTACGCTCAGGACCCCGTTCCTACTCCTGCCCCTTGGATCCGGAGTTCATGCCACCCGTTAAGTCCTCCGCGGCAACGTATCGGTATCAGCCCTGTTGGGCCCCCCATCCATGGCGGATTTATGAAGGGATGGAGTGGGGTATAAGCACAATTTAAGTATTAAAAGAGAAAGAGACGTAAGTGCGTTGCCAGCCCTCTTAACCGAGTTCGAAAAAAGAAAGAAGTGTTTAGTTTGACCTGTATGTGTGTATTTATATATGTATGTATGTTTGTGCAAGATGTATCTCGCGATTGGCTGAACCAATTCTGTTTCGATTTTCAGAAAAGTGTTTGTGTTACACTTAGGGAAAGGTACCTATATGAATTAACTTACTTCAAAAAAGGGGGGCTTGAAATCGGCTTTTCAAAATTAAATGTAGTTTATTAGAGAATTATTTGGATCTCCGGTACTTAAAGTTATTCACACGGCAGAACGAAGGTAGTAAGTGTTTTTATAAAATCGAATGACAAAAGTGTACATACCAGTAGAACTCTCAGACTTAGCGCTATAACCGCTGAGCTATCAAGTGACACATGTGTCTTAAAACTTTTTAAAATCCTCAATTTTACCAGTAACAGACCATGATATGTAATTTTGTTAAAATACTGGCGTATTAAACTAACCTATGATGTCACTAGCAGTGTGAATGGACAAAGCATATTCATTGAATGTAAAGACATTCAATTCTTTTCAACTGATTTCAATAAAATAATCGCGCGTGTGTAAGGTAATGTCGTGTTGGCCCGGAGGTTTAAGAGGCACGAGGGTGCGGGTTAGAAACCTACCAACAGCAAGTATCAATATGCTTTTTATGTACTTTCTATGATTATCTAGACACCAATGACAAACGGTGAAGGAAAACATTGTGAGGAAACCAGGGCTTACAATTTCTAATTGTATATTTGAAATCTACATTTAGCAAACGAGGATCACCTCGTACGCACGGAGAAGGTTTAAGCATTATGTTTAATGCAGAATGAAGACGCCTTTGGTCAGCAGTGGCCACTTCTATGATGTTGTTGATGACGATAATAATTTTTTTTTAATAATACGGATAAAGCTTCGTTACTTCTGCATAAATATAGTATTAGATACAAAATAAATATATATAACTTAAAATATAACTAACTAAAAACTAAAATATTTACACCTTAAAAAAGTAATAATAATAAAAATGCTATTTTAAGGCATCAAAAAAAAAATTCCTCATCGCTATCGTATTTTTTTTTTTGTTTTTTTAGATGAAGAAGGATTGACATCATCAGTAATGGTGCGCCTGATTGTGAAGTTACTCATGACTCTAATGTTTGCAAAAGCCGATGACGATAATCATCCATTGTCTAAGGCAAGAGCCGAACCCGTTGTAAGCCACATTAAGACCAAATATTTCGGGCCCATTTTCGAATAAATTTGAATAAAAGTTGTACATATGAATAATAATATAAAACTATGTTAAACGGTTTTAATATGAGTTCTATTCTACCAATAGATTATATTGTAAGGTCATCAAGATTAAAAGTGTGTAAGTACCAAATATCAGTTTGATCTGTCGCTAGACATACATACATAACTTCACGCCTGTCTCCCATGGGGGTAGGCAGAGGCTATGAAACTCCAATTGCTACATACCTCTTTTGCTTCATCAACAGTCATTAATCTTTTCATGCATGCTCGACGGTTAAGGGTACTTTTACTACTTTACTGTCGCTAGAAGGAAATGAAATTCCAATTATGTTTAACCTAAACAAACAAACTGAGTAAGGTAAAAAAACTGTTTGATAATAAAATACTATATTTTTCCTATAAGCTTTTTATCTCGAGGTCTTATATGCCTCATTGTTACTGGGTATTTACTTAAATTCTTCTTCAAACTTTACATACATTAATAAAATATTTTTATTTTTATATGAACGTTTTTTATGTTGTCAAAATATTATGTATTATAAATAAAAATGATTCAGTTTTAATTCCTGCATGCCGTAAACAACTTTTATTTTTTATTGTATAAAAGATTTAATTTTACTAGAAGGTTTCGCTTTATTTTTTTTAATCTATATTTAAGATTTATCGAATTCGAAACTCAAATTAAATTATTCTTTGTTTTCAAAAACTTAGCATCCTTTAAGTTTCATTGTTAAAGAGATGACAAAACAAGTAAGTACTCAATGCAAACTGAACCTAGAGTTAATTCATGTAAAGATTATTTTTATTGATATTGTTGATTACTTATATGTTTTTTTTGAGTCTATTATACAAGCATTTTGTGAAATGTACCCTATACAGTTACGTAGTAGTACTGTATTGTGTTGAGATATTTTCATCATGAGTTAGGTAAAATGTTTTGATATACCTAATTAGATTCATATATTTTATTAAATAAAAGTTTACGTTATCTGGTGTTTGTGTTTCAGTTTGTCCACTGCAAATAATGTATTCAATGTTTCAAAAAAAAAAAAATTCTGTTGCCATGCGATATTTAACCTAACTAGATAAATTCAAGTATCATAAACTGAGATGATTTTGACTGTATTCGATTGCTTCAATTATGCGAGACGTATCTAGTATATGACTTTCTTTGGTGTGGGCGGGGTTCTGCTTAATGTATAAAAGGCTCGTCAGGAGATCACATCGCGTATTACAGAGAACACTTTTGTGCCTCCAATATGAAGGTACGTGGACAACCTTGGATTATACTATAAATATAACTATATCAAGTGACAACAAGTGATTTGGTGATATGTACGCCCCGGCTGTGTATTTGTTGTGAATATTTTAGTGAACTATTTCTGAATTTTTGTAGTTCAACGATTGCGTCTTTAAGGGCATTGACAGTTTTTGTTGTAGTTTACAAATTTTGTAGGTACAGAATGTGAAGTTATTTAGTCCTGGTAGTTTCTTTTTTTATATACAGAGTGTAAACGGAACGCCCCCGAAAAGCTGACAAAAAAAAATTGTTTTCATAATTTTAATCGTTTTTGTTTTCATGTTATTCATGCAACATCAGCCTTGACTTGCCAGCCCAGTTGTGTACAACTATTATGACTTAAAAAAACAATTACATAATTGTGTGGTTTTCTGGGTCAAAAATAAATTATTTTGATTTTTTAATCCATTTAAATATTGAAAAATAATTACACTTTCATTCATTGATTTGACAATATAATTAATTTTCAATTTATTCTAGCAATTTCTTTAGAAATAAGTGTGCTATTTGCCGTGGAAATATGATGACGTCATAAGTTTCGTTTTTGACGTTCCGATAAAAGTATTAAATTTGACTAGTCGTTAAGTACCGTATTCCTTAGTTTTATGAAAAGAAATCTTGTTTTTAACGTCACCTGTCGGTGATTTTCGGAAGCGTTACAATTACACCCTTTATTGTAAGTATATTAACATAAATCAGAAGTTGCTGGTGTCACTACCTAATCAACGTGTGTATTCAGTTATAATGTGAGCATTATATGTGACAGCTAGACTAAACGATATGAACATACTAATGCATAGTTGACTTAAAGCTTAGTATCAGCCCCATATATAAGGTTTTTAGCAATCAAAATGATTGATGAGTGTCCGATATAGTCGTATATTGTCTTTGTGACTCACCTATTATTGGCTTTTACATATTGTAGTAGTTACTGTCAAAACTGTTAACTAAAGTAGGAAAAGAAGTGGTCCTCTCATAGTATATTAGCATTAGCAGCCTATTTATTGACATTATTTTATTGTTAGCTTTTTAACACCTTGAACGCCATGGGGGACAAGGAATGGGCCACGATAGCGGAGGATATACCCTCAACAGTTTTCTGTCGGCAGTCAAAGGCTAAATAATGCGTTTTGAGCTTGTCAAATTTGTACTTGACAGAAGTCAAGTATCTATAAATGTTAATAAAAGTATATCTATTAACATTTTTAGGCTTTCAAGAATAGGTAAATGTAACAAAACAGAAACAAGTATCAGAGCATTTTTAAATAAAGTGATTAAATTAAAAAGGCAAGAGCTGAATAATTTTTGTTTCGTAGATATTTATTTTTATAATATTTCAATCATGTTTTTTAATAACGATAAACATTTTTATATTTTTTTACTTTAAAAATAAACCTTAGGTACGTATATTATACAATGCATTTGAAATAAAATTACATATTGCAGTGGTTTCGTGTTTTTAAATTAGATTGCAAAAACAGTTCAGAATGCACACGTCTGAATACAAAGTAGTGAAGACATTCAATAACCGTGTTCTTTACATAAAACAACAATATGTGGAATGATGTTATTCCACATGTTACATTTCCATATCAATAGTATAATAAGGAATAAAGTCATAATCATATTATCATTGATTTTGATTCTGAATTGAATGGTGAATGGTTGTGATTTACGAAACTAAGGAACATTTTTCGCCATATGGAAGAGACTCATGCTTCTGCACAAATGGGCCGGCTCGACCATAGACGGAGATTACATTTTAAAATATGGTTTACTAGCGACCCGCGCCAGCTTCGCACGGGTGCAATATGCATGTATTGTCGCGGAGAACCTAATGGGTAACCGGGGCTCCGACTCGACGTGCAGGAGAAGGAACGGGGTGGTTTTTAGTCAGTAAGAGTCTGACACTCCCTCCCGCCTCACCCAGGCGGGAGCAGTCATTCGATGATTTTCCCCCTTAAAAAAAAATGCATGTATTATTATACATAATTATATAAACCTTCCTGAAGAAACACTCTATCTATTAAAAAAAAAAACCGCATCAAAATCCGTTGCGTAGTTTTAAAGATCTAAGCATACATAGGGACATACAGACCTACGTCTGATAGCGACTTTGTTTTATACCATGTAGTGATTAGAAGGCGCTTCTGCCTAGTCTTTGTTTCTTTTTTTCTACACTCCTACACTCATATTATAAAGAGGAAAACTTTGTTTGTTTGCAATGAATAGGCTTAAAAACTACTGGACCGATTTTAAAAACTCTTTCATCATTTGAAAGCTGCATTACCCACGGGTAACATAGGCCATATTTTATTTTGGAAAAAATAGGGTTCCGTATAGTTATTTGGGTTTTTCGGACACAAGGTGCAAAACATCAACCAGAAAAGTTACTATTTTTGTGTACGATTATAAAATGACTTCTTTTACTTCAATTTTCAAAGATCAAAGTGCCTTATATTATTACTTAGTACATCTGGTACCTGCTAATAAAAAAGTCCTGTCAAAATCAGTCCAGCCGTTCCAGAGATTAGCCAGTACAAAAGCAGTAAATTGTATGCATTTTTACGAAGCTGTATTTAATAATAGCTAATTCGACTTAGTTAAGCTGTGATTACTGTCTTTGTATAAAATATATTTTCATTTCATTTTTATTATTAGTAACATTGATTTTAGTCTATATAAAAGGTAGATGAATTAATAACTTTGTAATTACACATTCCAGGTGCTAGTAATCACACTGCTATGCGCATTAGCTAGCTGCGCGGCAGGAGGATCCGTAGCGTGGCCTGGTGCCATCGCAGTATCCTCCCCCATCCTGAAGACCATCATCCCAGGGGAGACAAAGACCACCGCTTATTCCACAACACAATACATTAATGCGGTAAGATTGCTTTTAATTAATTCTTCTTAGAGCCAATTATTCCAACACCAGATATTTTAACCGAGTAATAACTCTGAATATTTGACAATTCATCCATACTAAGTCAAACACAGTTTTATTCTACAATTAGGAATTAACTGACGGTTGAGAAATCGACCCTTAACCTTATTGTGATGATGAAATGTGCTCTTAAAGTATTTCTGTCTATTTACTGAATACATATGTGACAAACTGGTAGATAGTGTCTTGTGTCGGCCTTTCCATTCTTTCCTGTTGCAATAACTAAATTAATTAAATAAATAAATACTTTTCTTTAATCAACTCGATCGAGTCCAGTAATAATCTACAAGTCTATCTTTAATAAGCTCAGTACAAATAGTAAAAAATAAGTATACGTAGGTAAATATGTTTTATTTCATATACATCATTTCTCAGGTGCCAACATCGTATGCTTTCGCTGCGCAGCCTCAGTTCGCATATCACGGAGTGCCACAAATTAACAGCTTCGCGTCTCTACAACCAACATATTACCCCATAGCGGCACACTCGTATATTCCGACTGCGAACGTCTTCTATCCTTCTGCAGCTTCATTTGCTCCAGTAATAGCTCCTGGCTTCCCATCAGCCCCCGCTTATCCTAGCGCTCCTGAGACCAGTCCTTCTCCTGTTTACCCTGGTAGCTCACCAAGCCCACCCTCTTCTTCATCTGGGGATGCCGATTCTGCCGTAATAGATTCTGCAGATTATAACGCTGATCAGCAAAAGCAACAAGAACCAGCATCAACTCCAGCTCCTCAACCTCCAGCTCCTGAACTTCCAGCACCTGAACCCACTCAACCAGCTCCGCAGTTCCCACCTTTCCCCCCTTCTAACACGTTCCCCAATTTCCCTAATTTCCCCCAACTGCCTCAAGAGTCTGGAGAATCTCCCTCATTTCCGCAACTTCCTCAGCTTCCTCAGCTTCCTCAGCTCCCAATACCACAATACCCAGACAACATTTTCCTTCAGGGAACTTCCTCACCTCCCTCGAGCTTTCCTGGAGCCAACAACGAAGACAAAGGTCTAAATGATGCAGACACGGTATCCGTAGAGTCTGCCTAAGACATGTATGCAATTTAAAAAAAATATATAAGTACATTTTTGTGATTACTTTTGTTTTATTTTATAAAAGTGTTCTGCCCTATACATAAGCATTTCTATGTGTGTAGTTTGTATTTATGAAAAATCAAATTTTTGTTAGTTATCAAAATTAAAGGATTTGGAGGCTTCAAACTTGATTGAACCATATCATGTATCGAATTTTTTTCCACACCTTTTTGTTTTATTTCTAAATTCTTAGATATTATAAGATCATGTTCGGCATGTTTTAACTACAAAGATAATCATATAAGACGCACTACAAAATAAGAGTTATGAAGAAAAATGGTTCATTTTGGTTGGTTTGTTTACCATTGCTGACATATATGTCATTAGTCTAGTCATACCTTTTTATCAGCAAATGTAGGTACTGTAATCTCATAATTTTTCAATCAAAGTTACCATATTTCAGAGAACTGTCCGTAGACCAATCGTAAGGGATGTTCTATCTCTATTCAAACCTACAGTAGAAAAAAAAGATTATTCAGACAATCATACTACATTAATCCGTTATCTGTGCACCTAAATTCATCTAATCGTGATTCACGTGAAATAAAGAAACACAATAGTTTGCCTTCTTTTGTTTAGACGTTAGATACAATACATTGGTGGTGACAGTCACATAGCGAAGCAACACAACAACTTTCATAGTTCATTTGATCGTGGAGAGTACACGAAATCTACATACAAGTGCAAATAAATAATAAATTCTAAAATAATATTTAATAAAATGTCGATTTTAAATACTTCAAGATTGTGTTACACGACATTATTTTTATTAAATCACCACTATTTCACGACGGCTACATCTACAAGTACTGCAGTTACTGTGACTGATAGAGCTGAACCAACGGTATGTTTGACCATAATATGAAGTTTGCATTTTGCAGCTCGATTGCTGAACACGAGGTTCTGGCGCTGATTACTTAGTCGAAGTGTTATTACTAACTTTGCAAATACCTCGCACTTTGTAGGAGTTGCTATATAGTGTGGGGGTAATGGGAGGTGAGATAGTCAGCCAGCCTCCACTCACCTGTTGTTTTTTACTTTTTTATAAGTAGGTACTTAACTAGCTTCTGTCCACAACTTCGTACGAGCAATCCTGTTTTTTCTCGTTTCCGTAGGATTTTCGAAATCCCTGGATAAAAGTATAGTATGTCCGACTTCTGGTTTTAGGCTTCGTCTACTAATACTCATCCGTAATACTTCGTCAATTTTCAATTAAATCGACTAAGCCGTTCTTGTTTACGAATTTCTTTTATATGGTACGAGTTGACCCGGCCACACTTCGTACAGCGGCGATTTTTTCTCATCGTTTAAACCTTCCATGGATTTCCACGAACATTTCAAGACTAAAATTAGCCAACTCGGTTCAGCAATTATCGAGTTTTAGCGAGATTGCCTTATGTTCTATATATGTATGTATATATTATATCCTTACCTTCTTCCTTACTCTCCATGCAAGAAGAAGTCAGAAGAGCTAACCGGACAGTTAACCAAGTTTAGATGTAGAAAATTTCCTGTTGAAATTTGAAATGGTGTTCTGTGTAAACGCAATGACTGAAGAAAGTGTTCAGTGTATGGGTAGGTATAAATAGCTATATCTGGGCCTGTCTAGACGTATGTATTATTTGGTACGTTCTTAGATATTTAGTGAATGATTTTATTTGATAGTTGACTAGTTTTCGAAAATATAATCTTTAGTTTTATTGAACGGATATCTTAAATATTACCATTTCAATACCAAAATTATAATAAGAGCCGCCCTGCTGTATATTTTGAGTAGGTATAGATAGGGTACAGGATTAATTTAGCATAAAATCCTTTTTTCAGGCCGTCAGCTTTGGCAACTACACATTGAACGAATTAATGCCATGTGATGATGTGAAACTCGTTAATAATACAATTAAAGGTCGATATAAAAGGCAAACGGAAAATCCTGCAGGTAAGAAAATCTTATTATTATTATTGAGCATATCCTGTTTCTGCGCACGCATTACATGACACACAATATAAACGCGATGGGATTTACATGCACTAAGTAACTTCATATTGTTTTTATTGTCGCAAAACAATGAAGTAGAATAAAAGTATTCCTTGCTTATGGTCCAGATAATAGTAATAATTAGCAATTCACTCTGTCTGTGGTCCCTTGACAAGATTTCATTTTATTTGAGCACTGGTATTTTAAGTTTATTTCATGTTTTTGTGTTTGTGTCAATGTTTACCTTCGCTTCCTATTATATTTAATTTTTTATAAGTGTATGTGTGTTTCTGCGCGGAAATTAATGATTTTATTTCTTTACTTCTTTATTATATACTAGCTTTTACCGCGGCTTCGCTCGCGTCAAAAAGGATAAAAAGTAGCCTATGTGACATACCAATACACACAGCGCCATCTAGAGGTATACCAATACTTTTGTTTTTCCTTGGGAATATCAATTTTTTCCGCGATAAAACCCCTACCCTATCATTTAACCCTATTATTTAATCCGGACTTCTAAATTTATGTCTGCAAAAATTCAAAGCAATCGTTTTTGAAGTTACGGCGTGAAAGCGGAACAAACAAACAAACAAACTTACTTTCCGATTTATAATATTAGTAAGGATATCTTCTTATTAGTACTGACTTATAATAGTTATTTTTTCCTTTTTTGTTTTTACTTTTTGTTTGTTATTAGAATTTGTTTTTTGAAGTCGGTTTTTTAAACGGACTTTTTATTTTTTTCGATATTTAGTATATACGTATGCGAAGAGAGTGGATGATTCTATAAACATTAGTCGGTAGCTTGTGTCTAACACCAGATTCAAGTGTCCACATATATGCGCACGGATTATATTTTGTGTTGCGGATAAACACTGAAACCCAAAATCTTTTGTAATGTAGGCTCAGGGGTTAAGGCGCTTGCTTTTGATGGATGCGAGTGGGGGATCGAAACCCAGCAAGTAACAATGTGACTTTTAGGTATATGTACTTACTTCCTAAGATTATTTAGACACCGCAGATATACGATTAAGAAAAATATCGTGAGGAAACACAGATTTACAATTTGTAATCTTCACCGGTTGCCTTTGCTTAGCAGTGGGCTAGGCTGTTAATGTTGACTTGAAGCACCATTTAACTGTCCGCAATGATCTGAATCAAGCAATGATATAATGTGTTTCTTAATTGGTACAATGTCAGTATAAATATTATCCAGGCAAGTGGCATTAGTGGGAGTTATCCTAGTGGGCTCCAGAAATAAGTTCGTAAGGTTAAATGAGGCAAATAAACTTACAATTTTAGTGCTTAGACTAGAATTCTCTAACAAATTTACATTAAAATCGCCACAGGTAATGATGAATTTATTTGAATTACTGAGTTTATTTAATACTTCATCTATTACTGTTTCAAAATAGTCATACAAACTAGAAGGTGGTCTATACACACATAAAACAATAAACCGCTCTAATTCCACACAAGCTATTTCAACAGTGCGTTCAACAGAGAAACTAACTATATCCTTGCGTTCTTTAAATTTAAGATTGTTATTTATTAATATTAGTGAACGACCGCGTATAGCGTTCTCCCTGCTGAACGAGTTACCAATCTGGTGATTACCAAAATTGAACATTAGTTGATGAGATTTCAACCAATGCTCAGTAATACACAAAATGTCAACATTATTACAATTCAAAAATAACTCTATTTCTAGTTCCTTGCTCATAAAACCTTGAATATTTTGGTGAACCAGACTGATAACACTACTGTTTGATTTGCAAGAGGTTACCTCTATTGTCTTACTTTTTAATTTAAATTATTAGAAATGTCAAGATTTATTGAATTATTATTAATAATGTCAATATTTGTAAGTTGCTCAATAGGAGCAACCTGTTTAGCCAAGTTCTTGGCTGTAATATTAAAAAAATATGATAGCGACACCGCTATTTGTCTTATATAATATTTTGAAAGATAGTACCTATCTTTAGTCATATATAAATTTTTGCCAACTAAATTGTTGGTGTCCATTACATCTATGTTGCTATTATTACATAAATTATAGATAGCAATATTTAATTTAAATCTTAAGTTGTTTTCTTCCTGTGGCAAGCTATTACTATAAGGTAATGATGAAACAAAATGATCTGCTTTATTTTAAGCTCTGTAAGTGAATTATAAAATTGCAATATTTTTATTTATTTAAACTTCCTCTATTTCCACACATAATTATGAGGGTAGAATCTTGTTTAAAACTATAATTGATATTTTTTTCCAAAATATTACTAAAAGAATATCCGGGCATACAGTGATTCATTATTGATTGTCCAGGGCAAATATTTGTCAGTAAATAACCTAAGTTCTTCCCAATCTCATCACTGAAGATTACAATGTTATTGTTGTTATTATTACTACTGTTACAATGGCTAGGAATCAATGAACTGGCACCTTGAGGTAGGGTGGAATCACATGCATAGAACAAGCAGGCAGTACATCATCAGAATGACACTTCTCACACTGGTTTTCCTGTGACCGCACTAACTCATTCATTGCCAACATGTATTCCCTCATTTGGTTTTCAGATGCACTATATTTATTGGTCATGGTGTGCAACTTTGATGTTAAGTGATCTAGTTCTGATTTTAAGTTTTGGGTGTCAGTGTCATATCTCCTATTCTGTTGATTTAATTTAATAGAATAAGTATTAAGTTTGTTTAGAAGCCGGAATCGTTCTTTGTTTAATTTTACATTTTTTATAAAGAACTTTTGTCTTTTAACTAGCCTGTTAGTTTTAGTTATGTATTTATTAATTTTAATGTACTTTTTTAATCTTTTATTACTACAACAAAGTGTTTTTGTAGAATGATAAGAATTACTATCACAAGTTAAATCTATAGTTACTGGATTCAAGTCTACATGTTGTGATTGAGAAGCACGGGCTGACACCAACTCACTGAAGAGATTGTTATTCAGACTGGCCGTGATATTAAGATTTAATGTTTCTAAATGACTAATTTGCCTATTGGCCTCATGCTGTTCTAATAGAGCTTTGTCATGTAATGTTTGTTAATTCTCATTGCTACATTGACTGAATCCATCCACAACAAATTGGAGCCTATCCCGGGTCTCAATAGCTTCGGTGTGTTGAATATGTAACCGATGTATTGATACATCTTGCATTTATTTGTTTTAGATAAATTTAAGGATGCTGCTTCTTCATCATCATTAAAAGCGATTCGACAATTTCTACAAATGGTCAAGAACTTATTTACTTCGGATCCATCTGGCGGCAATCATCCTTTGTCACCCGACAACCCTAAGATCATTGTAAGACTCTTTAAATCGACAATTTATGAACAGCTATTCCCAGAACCAGGACAAGGCCCCGAAACGAAGCCGTATGCTAAAAGTACATAATCAAAATATGTGTATGTAAAGACTCATGAGAGTCGATATTTCGCAATCCTCCCGCACTGAGACCCTCCGCAACAAATCTTGGCTGCCGTGAGACGATAAGCTATTCTCACAGCAATAAGACGAATACCGCCATCCTTTTTGCGCAGGGCACTTAGATTGGCTCCGTACAAAACGTCGATGATGGATTCGTGCATATACATATATTACGGGAGAGCATGAGCATGATCAAAACCGTAAGCTCTTTCAGCAGCGCCATATAGGACTCCCTGGCGCTTGAGCTCATCGATCTTTGAGATGCTGCCTTAAACAATCGAGGCCTCCTGTAAAACCGCTTCTATTGTCTTATAGGTTATTTATTTTGATGAACTTCTTTATTATATTGTAATGTGTAACGCGGCAATTCGATTTTAGTTTGTGTCGGACGCACGCGCGCAACTCTAGTAGCAACACGCTACCTCACTATTACTCTTACCCCGCTCCCCCGCCACTGACCGCTTAACGCTTTCGTGGAAGCGACACAGAACAATGAGTCCCGCGACGAAGCCGTGACGCACGCGCTCCGTATTTGTACCGCGAATATTTAAGTTTTATTTTATTGTAATATTGTGCAACTTTGTTTATTTAAGTTTAAAGTTTATTCCAATATACAAGTTTACAGTCAATCGTGTGTCGAACTTTATTCCACGTCCTTGAGAACCCAATAGGCGACTATGTTTATTAAAGATGTTAATAAGGATGTTTTTTTTATGGGAAAAGCTGGTAAACAAGTAGACGGATCACCTGATGGTAAGCAATTGGTGTCGCCCATAGACACCTGGAACACCAGAGGCATCACAAGTGCGTTCTCATCCTTTTGGGGATTAGGAATTTGAGGATTGTTGATGATTCAGGAATTGGAGAGATTGGGGAAGGGGTAATAATTGGGCCTCCGGTAACCTCACTCACACGACGAAACACAACGCAAGTTTTGTTTCACGTCGGTTTTCTGGGAGGCCGTGGTATCACTGCGGTCCAGCCGGCCCATTCGTGCCGAAGCGAAAGAAGCAGCTATCAGACATTTTATTTATTATTATGTACGTCCTAGCAATGTTTACTACCTTATCAATGAAAATTTTTTATAGTATCTAAAATGATTGTGTATGAATTCTTAAGCATTAAATAAGTACCTACTTTTTTGTTTCTAAAAACTTCTTTTTATTTTTATTTAATTTAATTCATTTAATTCTTCGGCTAATCAAATGCTTTGAGGTGAGGTATTTTCTGATTGTCAGGTACTTAGAGTTAAGTTAATTCTAGGTTGTATTTATATTTTAGTCATATTTGTACCCCACTTTATATTTGGGTGCCATAATCATAGCATATTTTTATTATTCGTCCTATTGACCAATTTGTGTTATTATGAATAGGACACATCACAAAATGGTCATCGCCATTTGATTTACGATGAAAAGATACAAGTTAAATAATATGAAATGATTTTATTAATACACTAGGCACATGTTACCAGAAACCAGAAGAGCGTTCATTCATCCATGCTTGTCTATCTGCCTGAGTAGTATTCTTCCCATCAAGCGCTAATGAAAAGAAAAATGAGTATGGGAACCACTCTGTGTTGAATGTTATAGTTAGGTTATATCCTCCAACGCCTGCTATAGTGGGCTTCGAAATCCGATTGGGCATAGTTAGACGAGCACACACTATTGTGCAGTCGATACCAGCAGATATCTATAAAAACAAACAAATATTAATATACTCTAGTTTTAACAAAAAAAAGTATACGAATTGTATTTACGTATGAATGCCTTACTTTCAATATAACATGTAGTTTAGCAGGAGGATCAGCCGTCACAGAAAATTTCTCGGAATAGAAAAAAGAAGCACGCTTTTGATGTCTCATACTCCTGAAGCAAAAGTTACCATTCATAAATGTACGACCGCGCCATCCAGACTTCTGTTTGCGTCTTTTTCTTAAATACGATTTATTGATGCCAATCCCTGAAATCATAGCAATGGTTTTAGACGTTTTATTAGTAATTAACATAATTTATTTTATTGGATTGGAAGAATAATCGACATGATAGGATAGAACAGGTAGAAAGGTATAATTTTAGGTATACCTGGCCCTGCGTCAACCAGCTTAAAATTTTGAGGATATGGCTTAGGAAGATGGTGCGCAGTTATGACATTCATGATCCAATTAGTGTATGGAAACACGTCTATATAGAGTGGTGGTTCATTATTAAGGCGCCGACGCATGGACCGGCGATGGCAAGGAGCTCCACCCGCTGCCACTCCGATTAGCTCGAATGGTCCATCTGATGAGTGACTGATTATGGTCGCACCAGGCCGGACACCACATCCTGAACTACACAGAACATGCGTGACTCCTTCACTACCTAGTCTCTGTGAAAAACAAAAGGGATAATAATTAAACTACCTATTGATTATATTGTATTACTTCTTAAAAAGTAATAGATTCGATGTTTATTGTTCTTTAATGAAGTTGTTTGATCTTTAATGAATAATACATTTATGTGAGGTCTGTAGAATTTGAATGGAACAAGGGTAAATCGATCGTCTTTGCCCACATGTATGATTACAGAATTAATATTATGGTTACATATTTTTTTCCGGGGGGAAAATCATCGAATGAATTTTCTCGCCCGGGTGAGGCGAGTAGGTGGGTCAGACTCTTACTTACGTTGAGCCGTAGCCCCGGCAACCCGTTAAGTTCTCCGCGGTTCTGTATCGGTATCAGCCCTATTAGGCCCCATCTGTGGTGGACTGATGGGTCTACTCGTGCTCGCCGTTCGCCGGCCCGTGCTTACAGCGGTGGCTGGAGATCATATTCAAATAAGTTTCACTTACCGCTTTCATTCGATGCTGTTTACATTCCCTATGAGTGTACAACTTCAGAGTTTTCTTGGCTAATCGTTCCGAATCAAAATCTCTTGGAACAGCTGAAAATTTGAAAGGATTAAAATTATGAAATCTTAGTGGTATCTACCTTATTATTTTACATTTTCTAATAAATAAAAATTAGCAACAAGCGAGATGGTAAGACATATCTAGGTACACACGGCCACACATCAATCTATACAAAACCAGTTTATCCTGGTGTCGCGTCGCATCATCTTTCCGCACATTTAACGTTCAGTTTATACTGGTTATGTAAAGCTCGATGTGTAGCCGTGTGTACACCGTGAAATCTATTTCGTATTCGTTCCGAAGTAAAATAGTCCTGTCTTAGTAATACAATAGTTTTACAAAGAAATAAAACGTTTAAAATAAAAAATACTTAACTGGTGAACCATTGCAAAAAGCAAACTTTGAAAGCGCATACAAACTCATAGTACATTATCAAACATCACGCCACGTAATTCTCAAAGAGGTATTTTTCGTCGGGTGGCACGTGCGATGGGAATAATGCCTACAAATTTGCATCTATTGTTTCATGTGCATATTTCTTGATTTTTTTACCTCTTTATTTATTTTTTTAGTTTTTACTTTATACATCGAAAGTACTCTTTATGGCAAGGTGTTTTTCCGCGGTACGAAAACGAAATATATTTCACGGTATATAATTGTTTTTTTCTTAATGTTTTTTAATAATTAGGTATGTATGTTTTTATACCTGTAAGCGTCTTCACATTATTCAATCACTCATTAAAGTTGGAAATTCACAAGAACTTACTACTAATGTAATCAACCAGAAACACGGACTTTTGTTTCTTCTTTTTCGCTCGTTCTTGAATCGTTGGTAAACATATCGGTACCATGTAGTCTGAAATTAAATTTTATATTTTTAGTCTAAGGACTCACGACGCGATCTTCTCCCGCGCTCGCCGCGGTGGCGGAATGGAGGCGGAAATTTCAAAACTCACGAATGTCGTAAGACGGGCGGGCGGTTAAATAATCAGTTGAGGTCCAGAATGACCGTCCCATTGCGATCGGCCGCCAACCGATCTCGCGGGTGTTAGCCAGCGCGGCTGCGGGCCGCGGCCGCGCCTTGAAAATTGCTTTAATTTTTTACATACATATTTTCTGTATTCTACAAAGGCTGCGGGCGCGTAACCACGGTGAGGACGGGAGATAATCGTGCCGTGAGTTCTTAGCCTTAATTAGACATTTGCGGGAAAATATGAAAACTCACTGAACGAATTTATATGTATAAAAGTTTTATGGATATGCCAAGAAACCTATGAAACATTTGGTGACGCTGTTCTACAAACGGTCAGTGTCTTTTTTTTTCTTCTTTGGCAACCGAGTCTCCAAAATGGTGTTGTCGACTATACTGCCAGTGTCGGTCAGTGCCTTTTAGTTATAATACGTCCATGGTGCCTTTAGCCTAACGGATGACACTGACAAGTGTCAAAATTTATGTCAATTCTCTCGGAACAATAACTAAAGCAGTTATTGTTCCGAGTCAATTCTATATACCTAATTTAGTTTTCTACTCTACAAGTAGACAAGCGCTAAATGACATTGGCTACTGCTGCTAGTTACAAGCGTTTACAAATATACACATTCACAACGCAGTATTTATGTCATTCATAAATCCTACATAGTATAGAAATTAGTACAATTAACTTACGAGACTTCAATGGCCGAATAAGTTTGATCAAAGCGAGACTATTGCCTACACCGAATCTAAAAAAAAAAGTTTACATTAATGTTACAATTAATCTTTAAAATAAAACCATAAAATACAAATTAATGAAGTATAAATTTAATTCTCGTTCTTAAAAGTGGTGCTAAAATTGTTTTTTTTTATTGGTATTAGCCGGTAAACGAGCATTCGAATCACCAGTTGGTAAGCAATCGGCGCCGTCCGTGAACACCTGAAACACCAGTGCCATTAGCCAAACGCCACTTTATCGCTTGTCTACAGGGAGATTAGAAATTAAAATGTATGGGGATGACACTGACAAGTGTCAAAATTGACGTCAATTTCATTTAATTTGGTTTTCTATTCTACAAGTAGACAAGTGCTAAATGGCATTTGGCTACAGCTGCTGGTGTTACAAGTGCATTGTCGGCCTTTTGAGGATTAGGAATTTGAGAAGAGAGGAGTTTCTAAGTTTTATGAAAAAGCTTTGCTTACACCAGCTTTTAGTCCAATATTACGTACCTAGTATATTCAGGATGAGGTGTGATGTCTTGTGGCGGTATTTCTATATAGGCACGTGGACATCTGATACCCATTTTAATCTGTGGAAGCGCTAACCCACAGTCTTCCTCGTCTCGCTCATAATCCCCAAAAACAATATTACCCCTGGAAAATATTAATTAATAAATTATTTATTATTCATCTTAATTACACTTATGTATCTGAATAATATTTTTTTCTTTTCTCTTTTTAATAAAAAGCGTTGCCCCATCACTGGGATTTTCTCCTGTGTCGTTAGTGCACTTACAAACGTACAAGACACAAGTTCACATACACATGACGCCTAGACCGGGACAATAATCTGTGGATCACACCAAGAGCTGTCCCGTGCAGGAATCGAACCCGCAACACATTGCGCGGCAGCCAGTTGCCCAGCCACCGCACCAGCCTTGAAGATAAATAAGACTTAATGTTATGACCTTATCCAAAGGATAAGGATTAAGAAGAGAAGGGTAAGAGCCAGAGGATAAGGGTAAGAAATTGATGAGATGAAAAAGTTCATTGTATAGTATACTCTATTTGTATAACCATACAATATCTTTTTTATGTTTCTGATCGTTTCGTTGGTCCAGTATTTGTGAATTGCGTCCGCTTATTTTTAAGTTCATTCGTTCTTTCGTTCCCTTTTACATACATGGGACTTACCCATATAGTAAAAACAGTGGGTGAAACTACATACATCGATGCATCTATGTGTAGATGAAGAAAACATTGCCAAATATCATTGTTAGTCAGTAAAGGAATAGATTATCTTACATAATAATATTAATAATAGGTATAGCAAATAAATCAAATTTATATATTAAAACGTACAATTTGTAGTTCTTCGGGAGATGCAACATGTCGGACGCTGTCCCGACGACAAACTGCTTGTGAACAAGGACCACGCGAGGCGCCTTGCTGTGATGAGGCAGCCCAGTCGTAACTATTATGACACATTGTTATTTATTTTAAGACTTACGTTTAGTAACTGGTCATAATTATATTGGCCTAATTTTAAGTCCAATATTTTATTGCCAACGAAAAGTATTGCTCATTATTCTCACCATGGACGTCCGCAGAACCAAAGTTGCTCGTTAACAATTTTGGAAACGGCAGGTTCGCTTGTGACTGCGGTCCAATACTCGAATCACTGACGTTAGTCAGTAAGCCGCAAGCTTTAGTGAAATTGGGCTGGTCATGCCTGCCGCATGTCAGACGAGCGGTGAGAAAATTCACTACTAGTGGATCCCACACAGCATCGACAGTGCGGCAGGCCCAGAAGGAGATGGCGGGATGAACTTATGAAAAGGATTGGCCACAGAATGCGCTACGAAGAGACGAGTGGAAGGAGAGTACAGGCTAATATGTGCAGTGGGACGGCCATGGCTGATAAAAAAAATATCAGAAAAGTAGTCACAAACTCCTAGTTAGTTAGGCATAATTACTTTTTTTTAGTGATAATAGTTACTTTTAAAATTATTTCATTTAATTCAGTATATTTTTCATATATGTAGTTAATTGGAATAATGGACTTATAAATCAATATGATTTTTCTTCCATGTAGGACTAATAAAAACTTACCGTGTATGTACTGAGCGAAGCCGAGCCAGTTAAACGTGTGTACTTTCAAAACGCCATCCGAAGGATCCTTCTCGAAGTCATCGTGGCAAATTGAGAAATCGCGAATTAAGCACAGCTTAGGTCGAATAAACACTAGTAATAACAACATTTAATGTCATATTCTGAAGATTTTTCACAATTGTACACGATTCTTTAACAGCAGGACCAACTACGGCTAGTTCAAATATTAGTAGCTACACATCGCATTAGCTGAAAGCTTCATCGAAAAAATTCTTTTAAACATTTTTAGTATTTCTACCCTTTTGCAGTTGGCACTGTAGTTTAAAAACTTCGTGTACACGTGTGATGACTCAAAATATGTAAAATAAATATGGTTGTTTATTTTTTTTTGTATAAATATTTGTTCGCACGTTTGATAAAATAAACTAATTTAATAATAATTAAAAATATATAAAACTAATTCTCCAACATTATTTTTATATTGAAACTGATTGAAATGTATAAAAGCAATATAAACAAAAAAGAATACTAACAAAGAGTAGTACAAATGGCTAAACCTCTCCAATCGTACATTGTGCTCGTACGCAGTGAAACAAATGAATGTTTTTTTCAATATAAGTTGCTCTCGCATTTTGTTTGTTGACAAGGTTTTTGGTATGTCGTTGTGATAACAATGTTTCTGAGAAGCGAAGTTAGTTTACAAATGCGAAAATGGATGGGCTTCAATCGAGAATCTTTCATAAATGTTTACAGCACGCAAACATTTAAATACTTTCTTTCTTTCTTAAGATGTTTCAGATTTGTGAACATTTTTGTACTGACATAATAGGGTAGTTTTCTAAATTTTATTTTAATGTACGTCTGGTAGATTATTTTAAAACTTTAGACACGTATTTTTTATTTTCTCACAAAATTAAATACTTTCGACGATATATGACGTCATATATTTACGGAGATAGTTAGGTATCGTGTCGTAACTACCTCCCAATCCTAAACTTAACGCCATTTTATTTAAGTATTGTAACTTTATACGAGAAAAAAAAATACGTGTCTAATATTCTTTCATTATTTAACTGACCGACTAATTAGATTTTTAATTTTCTTGCCCTGGAAACTACCCTATTATATTCAGTAAAAAACGATAATGAAATTCCAACAATGTTTAATTAGTGATAATTTAATGTCTCCTCAGATTTTACTATATGCGTTTAAATCAATTTTTCGTTGTTCTGTCTGTATAATTTCATAAGTTTAGTGTTTATTTTCCACGGTTATTTTCTATGTGAAATGCATATGTCAGTCATCAGTTACATTTCCAAAAGATACTTTTTTTTTACAAATCATTTATACGCGTGTAGGATGGTAAAATTCGAAAACGAAATTAGCTGGGATATTCAGTTTGTCATGAAGATAAAATTCATGGAGTTCTATCCTTTGAAAAGTCAATTTCCAAATAAAATATAGCTCTCCTTGACAATAGTATAACGGTAATCGGCTTCTTCGGAACATATGTTTTCTTGGGACGTAAGTCTTCATTACTATGCAAGCCAATCTGTAATTTATTGTACCTTCATCTTCTAACAACTAAAAGTAGAAAATGGTAAAACAGATATTATAGCAGAGATCAATAATAAAATACGTAAATATAAGTACCTATATAACATAACATCACGCCTTTTATCCCCGAAGGGGTAGTAGGCTGAGATGCACATTATGCCACTGTACAATGTTACACCCACTTTTCACAATTTATGTTATGAGTCCCACGTAATAGGGGGTGAGCCTATTGCCAAATACCGGGCACAATTCCAGACTCCGTGCTACTACTGAGATTTTTTAAAAAAACCATGTAATAGTTTGCCCGACCCGAGAATAGAAACCGAGACCCCTTGCCCGGTAGTCACTCGGCCAATGAGGCAGTCAGTATAGTCGAGTACCTATATTATCTTTCGTAACATAATTCGGTGACTATAACGTCACTTCTCAAGGGGTCAAAATGACACTGTCTAGCAAAAGGTGTCGAGTTCGATTAACTAATAATTAAAATGTCTAGGTAGGTATATAATAGGGATGATGACAGGGTATGAAAATTAAAAATATAATTAGTCCGTAACTTAGGTAATAAAAAAATATTAGACACGTATTTTTTTATTTTGTTGTATAATAAAACAATACTTAGATAAAACGAATCAAAGTTTAGGAGTGGGGGCTAAAACGTCATTTCTTAGTATAAAATGTACTGAGAAGTGACGTCACGCGACATTTCAAATCAATATATCTTCGAAACTATTCGTTTCCGTAAGAAAATAAAAAATACGTGTCTAATTTTTTTAAATTATCTACCAGACGGACATTAAATTAAAAATTAGTCGGCTACCCTATTGTACAGGGTTTGGGATTGTGTCTAGCGGGTAATCCCTTATACGCTTCATCGAACTCATAACACAACAAATTTCATCAAATATTAAATGATTAGGAAAGACTGCCTCGGTGACCGAGTGGTCGCAAGTGCTACTGCTGGGCAAGGGGCTTGGGTTCGATTCCCGGATTGGGCAAAATATTACTGAGTTTTTAAATAAAAGTAGTAGCACGGCTTCGAATTGTGCCCGGTATATGGTAATAGGCTCACCCTTATTACACTACTAGGACTCATAACATAAATACTGAAAAGTGGGTGTTACATTGGTAAGAGCCGTAATGTGTAACCTCTGCCTACCCCTACGGGGATAAAAGGCGTGATGTTATGTTATGAAATTGATGTTTATGTTACTTACATAAATATACGTAGCTTGCGTTGATTGATAATCGGATAGAGTGATATTTGCTGTTTTGCGAAGAAACACTTTTTGTATCACATCGGGTGTGCACCAACCGAACTTGTAGATGCTGTGGACATATACTGTAAAAAATTAAAAAAAAATCCTGTACTAGACTAGAAGAACATCAAGTTTTAGAACCATTCATGGGTTGAAAAGTATGTATTATCTGGATCAGAATTTATATTTTATGCTCAATTTTATATTATGGAAACAACCATTAAGTTGTAATGCTGCCAGTCTTCTCACCTACATTCTGATATACATATCAGTTTCACAAATAAAATAATAAGATGAATGTGTTCCAGTTTCTTTTCGTCTATTTATATTAATTTAAGTTTAATATCTTATATTTATTGTAATGTAACAAAATGTGGGAGTGCCATGCTTCGGCACGAATAGGCCGGCTCGACTGGAGTGATACCACGACCTCACAGAAAACCGACGTGAAGCAACGGTTGCGTTGTGTTTCGTCGTGTGAGTGAGGTTACCGGAGGCCCAATTACCCTCCCTTTTCCCAATCTCCCCAATTCCTGAATACCTAACGATCCACAAACTCCTAATCCCCAAAAGGCCGGTAACGCACTTGTAATGCCTCTGGTGTTCCAGATGTCCATGGGCGATGCCGATTGCTTACCATCAGGTGATCCGTCTGAACGTTTTCCGGCTTATGCAAAAAAAAAATATTTAAAAGAAAATGTATTTTGTTTACAGTAAGTTGGATTTGAAAAATCTAACCTGTTATTTAATCAATAACTTGTATTATACCTCTATATAACGTAATGTATACTAACTTCTTGGAAGAGCCTCATCATCCACTAGACCTTCAGTTGGGCCGTAGTGCGCAGAACGCAGGGCATACATAGCTTGGTTCGCTGGCACCGCCTTCCAGCCAGACACACCTATTACTAAGTAAAACTTATCATGTATATATAATATGTAATATAAAAGTATTATTATTGTTTTTAAGACAATATACAATATACTACAATGATGACAGGGTATAAAAATTAAAAATCTAATTAGTCCGTAAGTTAGGTAATGAAAAATTCTTAGACACGTATTTTTTTATTTTGTCGTATAATAAAACAATACTTAGATAAAACGAATCAAAGTTTAGGAGTCGGGGCTAAAACGTAATTTCTACGTATAAAATGTATATAGAAGTGACGTTACGCGATATTTCAAATCAATATATCGTCGAAAGTATTCGTTTCTGTAAGAAAGTAAAAAATATTTGTCTAATGATTTAAAATAATCTACCAGACGGACATTAAGATAAAATTTAGGCAAATACCCTATTACTATATTTATTAACATAATAACATGTTTGAAAAACATTGGAAACTGTTTCAAACTGTTTTGTAATGTTATCCATCCATCTTTTAAAGCTTCGACTGCCAATACAAAACTGTTGAAGGTAATTCTTTCGCTGACGTCGGTCACAGAGGGACCCCATGGCGTTTAACGTGTTAAGTTTGTTGCACAAGAAAAAATGAAAAACAATACTTACAGAATGCAAACAGATGAAAGGTCAATGGTAACATAATATTCCTCATTTTTATATAATCAATTTAAGTTTATCAATCACTCACAAGTTTATTATTAAAACTTTGTTTAATTCTTCACATGCAATACACACACACACACTTGGCAAAGGTTTCTCTACTAATGTGTGTTAATGTGTTATGGATACTGGGCTGTATTTGAAAACAACAAAATTCCTTGTCAGCGTGTAAGTCCACGTCACAAAGTGCTCGAAACAAAATTTTGCAAAGAAAGACTAAAAACATAATTAAATTTAGAGACGTATATTATGTTTAGTATTAAGACAAGTGTATACACTGCATTCACTGAGTTGTTATCTCATTCATTCATAATATTATGTATTTAAATAACATTTGACAGACGATTTCATGTGATTAAATTGTTGTAAAATCATAAATAAATAAATAACAAAATACCTACTATTCAATATCACAAAAGTGAGTATTGATTGTGGACAAAAAAATAAACAAACCAAATGTTTATTTCAATATTTATTTTAAATTAATTCTACCAAATAAGTAATTCTAACGTAAGAATGCTTAACAATAAAATATTGACTAAACCGAATAAGCGTGTTTTTTATCCCCTTTACTTAATATTATCCATTAGTTATACTCGTAATACTATTCCTAGAAGAGTTTGATATGAACTGTGGTTTCATCAATGTTATCCATTGATTCCTAGTATTTGGGTCACAAATAACAAAATAAATGAACAATACAAATCCTTGCAACGTTGATGTTAAACAAAAAAGGTAAGACCAAAGTAAATGGTTCGAAAATGAAAATATACCGAAAACCCATGTCAACCCCAATAAAAAAAATAAAAATATTGAAACTCTAAGCTGTGCACCGACCAAATCCATGTCAGTCGATTTCATTTTTTGATCAGGTCCTCGCGATATGGCATGAAGAACTAAAATAAATAAAGTTACATTTACACACAAAATAAGACAAATAGGAAATAATACACTTGCGATCATATAGTACCCATTTGGATAGCAAATACTTCTAGATAGTGATGGACTTGGAATATAATTTTTAGCATCCAGGGCTAAAGTAAGAGCCACTGGCAACAAAGGTATACCCCAGCCGACCAAAGTAAACTTGACCATAAACCGTGAAGGTCTACTAACTCCTAACACTCTCACGTATCTTATAAACTGTAAAATAGCAGTTATTAACATCCACATAAAACTAGACAATATAGAAAAATGTAGCAAGGCACCTAAAATTATACATTGATATATTTTATGCTCAGCCACAGCGTACAAATCATTCACTTTGATGAACATTGAACAGTCTAAATTAAAAACTAAAATAAACACCAATGGTAATGCTATAGCAGTTGACAATTGAAGAAGAACTTTAGTTCCTGCTTTTTTTCTCCAATTACTAAATACAAGGGCTGTTATCCAAATACCACATATTCCTAATAGTGACATAAAGCTTCCAATCAAAGTTATAATATTTAAAGCTAATGTATGGTTTTTGCTGATATGGTTATCTTCATCATCGGTATTGTTGGGCAATGCTAGTAATTGTCCAAAATGAGTAAGATGGTAGCACTCACAAACAACTTTATTATTTATAACTTTCACCACAAAACATCCTTGTTTTTTCCAAGAACCTAAATTGTGGTTTAGGCGCTGAGATTGAAAATCCCAATAACCACAATCAATATTTTCTGTATGTTTTATTTGCCTAAATATAAGTGGTACTGGATATTCTAGATTTGAAATATACTCTGGTATCGAAATTCCTACGATCCGACTATTGACTGTATGTTTATCAGATGCCAATTCTTGAAAAATTGCGTCATTATAAAAAAATGTTATAATAATGTGTAAAAAATCACTCGTATGTTCAGCGCTTTCATTTGTGTTCCTTTGGAGTGTATTTAAAACCTTTTCAGGTAACCACGTAGCGATTTCTAATTTGTCGATAGAAAGAACTTCATCTATACTAGTATTTTTATACAATGGTTGAACCAGCATATCTGCAAAGTTATCAGAAACTGAATTTCTAATAACAGCTATACCAGTTATATTATTATATTCTGGATAAGTGATTTGGACTATAAACTGAGGTTTTAATGCAAATTGATAAGAAACATTGCTTAACTCTGCAGAATCAACTAAAGTTCTTTGTGCTATCAATTCTATAATGTCACTAACAGAATCTAATATTACATTGGTTGAATTAAGTGTTTGGGCTAAACGTAAATAATTACAATCGAGAACCATCATTCTATCCATGACCCAGGCTATATTTTCTATATCACCAGTATCTACTGATGTAGCATTTTGCTCAGCTATATCTAATACATGTTGTAAAGACATAGATAAATAATATATATCAGCAGGAATTATTATATCTGTATCACTGAGTACAAAATTTAGACCATCAGTTAAAAACCTGGAAGCATACTTATTAGGCATCTGTCTCTTTACAAAATTATATAGAAAAGCTGTGGCTTCAGATGGGGCGTAAGTACTATCACAAAAGCCTTCTACTTCACCCCAAACACCACCTGTTTCATAGGATCCCTTACAATGTCGTTTTACTGGTAATCCATTAGCTTGTAAACAAAACTGTTTAGGAGCTGAAATATGGCCTATAGGTGTCATCTCCCAGTCTAAAACATTGACATTTTCTGAAGTTGTTGGCAAACAAACTGCAGAACTCGACAAGTTCACAAAAATATAGTTATATTTTGGTAATTCCAACTGTGCAATGAGTGTTAAATTATTAAATGTGTCTTGTATATTTAGAGCCTCGTCATCATGTATATCATCAACATCGACATGCAAGTGTAATAAAATCATCATGTGATCCGAGGAATAATCAATTACAGCCATGAGTAAAACTTTTTTTGCTAAAAATATATCCGTAATATTATCCGTTAATCCTGTCAGGTCTACATCTTCTTCAACGTTTTCGAGTAAAACATAATATTTGATTACAAGTGCAAATACATGAATTTTGTTACCCTTGGGATTCGCAATAATTTTGTCTGTACTAATAAAATTAAAGTCAATAGTGTGACCTTCACACCAATATTGAGCAGAACTATCAGTAACAAGATCGATAACATATACAATTTTTTCAATGTTAACTAAGTCAGAAAACAGAGATGAGTTTGCTTCGATAAAAGGTAAATCATTAACATCCACGACTCTAAAGAAACCTTTTGCATCAGAAAAACATTGAATTCCTTTATCAGTATTGTCATATTTCCATAATCCTGAGGGATAGTAAACTGTTAGGAAAATTTTATTTTGTGCTTCATTGTATTCGAACATAAATTCCGTTTTACCATAAGCTATTTCTACCTCACAGGCCATACACGGCAGAGGCGTGTTGGAGTTGATATAGCCTAAAACTCCAGCACTGTTTACAATACCTTCGTATGAAACTCTCTTCATAATTCGAGAATCATTGCTACTCATGGTCTCTGGCTCATCATCGTTTTCATAAGAATCTTTATAAGTTTTAAGCCAGCACCACATATCATTTGTCATATTATTTATATCAGATATTTTTTTGAAAACAAATCTACTTAATTCGCTATTAACATTAACCATAGGTGTCTTGCATTTATTTTGAAGAAAATCATTAAATGACATTCCTGGTTCAGCTTTTTCTATACCAAAACATGTGCCATTATCATGTTTAAATCGAAAGGACTGATATCCATCGGGACATCGTGAGGGATAATAGTGATCATTTATGTAAAAACATAAGGTGGGGTAGCTCTTGGTACATACATCTGTTACAAGTGCCTCTCGTTCTATATCTAATAGTAAACAATTTTTTGTGAAGGGTGTATACAAATTTAAGAAGTCACTTGATATAACACGTTGGCCCCAATTTGGTCCCGGAATAGTCCACACTACGGGATGGAATAATTTTTGTCTTGCTGCTGGTAGCCAGAAATATTTGGATGTGTTTGTACTTCTAAGAGAATTTAGTAAAAAATCGACTTCTCCAGCAGATAAATCTGTTATCACTGAAGCTCCACCACTGGAAAAACAAGGGGAATCCCAAACAGAGGGTTCACCTATTTGATAGCAAAACTCGTTGATATTTTCGGAAACTTTGTAAAATCCAGGCGGGCAAGAATTTACATCGAAATATTTGACAACTTTTAAACAAGGACCAATATCATCAAGTGATGGCACCCAGCCGTTGTAGGAACAGTTCCTTGTGATTAAGATTTCATCGCGGTAACAGAGCGGATCTGACTCGATGTTGTGTGCCGTCGGTGTTTTATGCCACGTTACACTGATGCCTTCTTTCGAAACTTCTTCAGGACAAGTCTGAGAAGTAATAATTTTGTAATGAAGGTTCTATAATTTTATATTTTTATTTAAAAGGGGCACCATCTATATATGAAATAACTAGCTGTTGCCCACGGTTTTGTTCGCGTGGAATTTGATTATACAACCAACTTTCAAATATCCCTAATTAAATAAAATTTTAAATGGATCAATGAAAAAAACAAAATCTGACCATCTCTATTGTCCCGTTAAAAGGGTGGAGGAAGAAATTTTTATAGATCTGATGTTAAATTAAAAAAGAAAAATATATCTGTGGAAACCGCTTTCGAATCGCATCAGTACTTTTCATGTGATGTGCACACAAACATGCAGACAGACAGAAGAAAAAAAATTTAACCAAATTTGTGAGTTCATGTATCAATGTAGTAACACTAATGCTGATTATTTTTAAAATATCTTTAATTACCGAATTTTCATTTCTACAGTTTTATTATATCAGAGAAGACATCATAAATAAAGAATTACAATATATAGTAAAACATGTTGCTTTTACCTGTTTTGTAGAACGGACAATAGCACTCAACATAAATATTATTCGAGACACAAAGACTTTCATAGTGCTTCTAAAAATCACTGAAAACAATCTATAATCACAGGTAGCTTTAGTTCGGGCAGTTTTACCGGTATCCAACTGCGATTTGAAACATTTTCACTTTGCTGTTATTGCTTAGATTACGTTACCTGTATGTGTTCACAAACAGGATGTCTAAAAAAATATGTAAAAAAATTAAATAAGGAAAGATACATTGGTGAAACCCCTAATTTTTGATGAAATTGTGTTGTGGATTTGTTAACACGTTAAACGCCATGGGGGTCACCGGCGACCGGCGTTAGGGGAGGATTTACCTTCAACAGTTTTTTATTGGCAATTAAAGTCTTGATTATGGTTGCTCATTATTTACACTGCCTCGTTGACCAAGTGGTCGCAAGTGCGACTGCCGGGCAAGGGGTCTCGGGTTCGATTTGCGGGTCGGGCAAAGTATTACTGGGTTTTAAAAAAATTCTCAGTAGTAGCACGGAGTCTGGAAATGTGCCCGGTATGTGGCAATAGGCTCACCCCTACATGGGACTCATCACATAAATAGTGAAAAGTGGGTGTTACTTCTGTGTGCACCTCTGCCTACCCCTTCGGGGATAAAAGGCGTGATGTTATATTATGTTCATTATTTACAATGTTTACACTTGTTCCTAATGTATAACAATATTTAGATGTGTTGTTTATTATTGCATTACTTGTTTGCACAACGGTCAGTCCTTCTTCGTTTCTATTTGTGTAACCATTGCACTGATTATTAGTTTTTTTTTAATTAATTAAAAACATATTATCAGATTAATTTCTATATGTACTTAATATTATAAATTTGTGCGTGTATCTTTGTTTATTGAGTGGAGATAGTTGAAAGGATTGAAAGTAGCATAGGCTACATTTTATTTCTTTCTAACCCACCACTTAAAACCTAAAACAGGGGGTGGAAGTTTGAATAGAAAATTTCGTAATTTTCATGAAACCTAAAATTGGTATCACATTTGTGACCTGGAAAACATTGGGCACCAATTTTTTTATCTTGTGTATACCTGCTCTCAATACTTTAAAAGAGCGCGAGCGATACCGTGGGCAGAAGGTAGTCCATGAATAAAATGTATTCAGTTATTTGAATTCATATTTTTTCTTTAAAATCCCTGATTCTGATGCAGCTAAATACTTTAATCAACGGTATAATATATATTAATCAACGGTAAAAGATTTTTCCAAATGTATCCAGAAGCTTCAGAGCAGATTCAATTAAATCAAACAAACAAAAAAATATGGAACTGGGCTGGTCATATCTGCCGCATGTCAGATGCGCGGTGGGCAAAACTTACTAATGAGTGGAGCCCACTCAACGTCAGTAGACGTCGCGGCAGGCCCAAAAGGAGATGGCGGGACGAACTAGACATCTATGACAAGGATTGGCTGCAAAAAGCTTTACATAGAGAGGAGTGGAAGGAGGGTAGGGAGGCCTTTGCCCTGCAGTGGGACGATCAAGGCTGAAAATAAATAAACAAAAAAATCAAATCTTTCCTCTTTATACTATTAGTGTAGATGATTATTTTTCTCGTCAAAAGGACGACTCTACCAGTTGACTACATCCACTCACAAAACATTTTAAATACTTATTGCGACATAGTTAGCGATATGGAACGAGACCTCTTCTTTTACGGTCCTAATCAAAAAGAAGATCCCGCTGTGTCGTTTTATCCACAGCCTGTATATGTTTGTAATCGGAATATATTAACGTCAGTGTCATTGCGCCAGATATGGTATCTTTATGAATTCATTGATTTTACGCCATGTTGTGGGAGGCTCTATATGTGTGGATTCTATTAGGTAACTACAGGTAAAAACTCTTATCTTGTTCAAGAACCATTGAGCACGGCTTTTAGCTATGTCAACAATAAAACTTACTTGTTATCTAGAATAAACTACTCTACGCCTAATAAGGTTTCAAAAAAACATTTCTATTATGATTTTTATCATGTGTAACTATAATTTTATCACAGTACCTACTTAGCAGCATTTTATCATGCTCAATGTGGTGACAGTTTCGTTTATTAATATTTTTCACATACCTGCCTACATAATATTATTATCTGGTGTAATGACATCCATACATCATTTCAACTCTAATAATAGTGGCGTATGAAGGGTTTTTGTACATTTATAATATGGTTGTTGATCATCGTTTAGTACATCACTATACTCTTATTAAGATTTACTGTGATCAGGGGATCCTAGCCATTCTTTCTGCTTTCTGTCCCGTTTCGTTTCTTTTTGCATTCCTTTCTTCCTGCGGACTTTGGTCCCGTCAGCTGTCGGTCTCTAAATTTAAATCAATTAAACTTATAAATAATTGAATTTCATATTATTATCTACACTTCATCACATTTCAACGGTCAGAATAAGATTTGTATGAAATTAAATTGAACAATTGAAGATGGTTTTCTTCAGTTTTCGTTCGTTACATAGATTATTTAAATTGGTTTGTTTAATTTTTCTATTCTTTTACAACCATACTTTAACAGCAGTGGAAGTTTCTAATTTTTTTTTGTCATCGTTCTACCCTTTTGAGGATGAAGGCATAGTCATAATAAATTTGATGAAATTTTGACTAATTCGGGAGATACGCTGTATAGTTCATAACATCATTTAAGTAAATATTTTAATATAAAGGTAACATTTTAATAACATTGAGTTACTAGAAAAGACCAATTTAGTCTACTTGGCGGTGTCGATAATGTCGTTTACAGTGTGTGATGAGTGAGCAAAAAGTTTCACTTTAATTCTTTTGTTTACGTTCAAAAGCATAGAAATATTAAAAAAGATAATTGTTTATTATATCTATGTTCAAAATTCTCTTTCTGTAATTGAAATGAATGATTTTAACTTTGACTTTGACATTAATGGTGAAGCTACGAATACTGTGGTTCATTCGATTCATGCTGACTACCAGTGGCGTAGTGTGAGCGAGCACTTATACTTTGTTTTACCTCTTTCTTATAAACATGAAAGGAATCTTGGAAGTTTTGTTCAACTGAGGCTCATTTCAGTTAAACGATTGATTTACGAAGGCTACACAACACGTATATTTAATTTCAAACTTTTTAAGCACTTTGAACAGTTACTGTACATAGTTTTATTTAAAACTCCGCGTTTATGTACGTAAATATAAATAATTAGATTTAAAAATGTTTATAATTTTGTAATATACGCTTTATTGTAAAAAAATATTTGAATATTTTATACAAAATTTGAGATATTTTGTGCTTAAGGTGCATACGAACCTAATATAAAAATTTGGTACCATTAGTTAAAAATAATCGTTAGTGTTATAAATAAATTTATACAAGTTTTGTTGACAATGAAGTCTATCTTTGGATTATTTATATTATGTATAGTCGGTAAGTTTTTTTTAATTTTTCGGTTTTTATAGTATTTTTCGGTTTTTTTTATTATATGCTTTTAAAAAAGTTCTACAGTAAATACACACATAAAAATAGTTCTTTTTCAGTAATATCTGAAAAATCTCGCGAATCAAATTACTGCCTCGTTGGCCGAGTGGTCGCAAGTGCGACTGCTGGGCTAGGGGTCTCGGGTTCGATTCCCGGGTCGGACAAAGTATTACTGGTTTTTTAAAAAAAATCTCAGTAGTAGCACGGGGTCTGGAATTGTGCTCGGTATATGACAATAGGCTCACCCCCTTTTACATGGGACTCTTAACATAAACATTGAAAAGTGGGTGTTACATTGTACATCGGCATAATATGCACCTCTGCCTTACCCCTTTGAGGATAAAGGCGTGATGTTATGTTATGTTATCAGAAAAATCCTAATTCATAGAATGGAATCTCGTAGTAGTTAATATCTGTAGTCTACAATAACTGATTAGAATTCTACATAGATTTTTAATATTTCTGTGGAATTCTGGCTGGCAGGGGCAAGAAAATCTGCTAGGGTTAATTGCGGACGAGGTTTAACAGTCCTGCCTCATCTAGGGTGCATATAGTCATTTGGTTATTCTCCATCCATAAAAAAACAAGGAGTATGCAAATGATTTCAATAAATTTCTATTACAGAGGTCCGTTGTTATAAAAATCACACGACACTGCAGTCTATCGTCTTCACAAATATTCCTAATGCAAGTAAGTATTTTATATTCTGCTAGCTTTTACCCGCGTCTTCGCTCGCGTCACAAAAGGATAAATTTTTTGTGACATATACCAATACACACAGCGCCATCTATACCAATACTTTTGTTTTCCCTCGGGAACATCAAATTTTTCCGGGATAAAAAGTACCCTATCATTACCCTATTAAAGCAATCGGGTTAGTAGGTACGGCGTGAAAGCGGAACAAACAAACAAACAAAAAAACTCACTTTCCAATTTATAATATTAGTAAGGATTGCGAACTCACATTAATTTGAAATTGTCTTGTTCTGAGCAAGGACGTTGAAAAAAAGGGGAAATAATCTCAAAAGGAAATAATTGAAGCACCAAAATGTCAGTGGTGTATTTATGTGTGCGTGTACTTGCAACACCGTAATACATGAAGTGTAATGATGGGCGATGACACGCGACAGATGTTCTACGTGTCGTATGTGTGCGTATTCTGCGTATACTTAAGTCTTTAGTAGCCAAAGGCCATAGTACGAGTTCGTTTCACGTTTAAAGTAATCGAAACGTGTACGTGTTCTCGTCGTAAATTTATACAATCTCGTATTAAACTGTCAAACACCAAGCGGTTACCGGTGACCGCAACCTATTGTTCTATAATTGTGTCTACAAAACCAGTACTCGACGAGTTAAGACCTCAGGTGCCACAGTCGTTGTTTCAAGAGACTTTATACAAATTTTTTTCAACGTTCTTGGTTGTAAGTATTACTGGGTTTTAATGTGTGGGAGAGCCATGTTCGGTACGAATGGGCCGGCTCGACCGGAGTGATACCACGGCCTCACAGAAAACCGACGTGAAACAACGCTTGCGTTGTGTTTCGT